ATGGTTTGGGTAATAGTTTCAGCTGCTACATAAGATGGTTTGGGTAATAGTTTCAGCAGCTACATAAGATGTTTTGGTAATAGTTTCAGCAGCTACATAAGATAGTTTTCGTAATAGTTTCAGCTGCTACACAAGATAAACACAACTGCTACATTCACACAACTATATTTTAAATAATTTCAAGAAGATTTGATTTTATCTAACGAAATGATCATTTTTTAAACATTTTATTCAGTAAGATGTTGAACTCAAACCGATTCATGATTAATTGATTCAGCCTAATTGAAACCATGTTGAGCTGCTTGAAGTGTTTTAATTAATGTAATACAAGGAATTCAACGAAATCTCAGAACAGAAAGACCTCCAGGTTCATATCATGAGTCACGGAATGTTTTATCCAGAAAGAGTGACTGGATGTCTCACCTAAAAAGTGAGACACTGGATGTCTTAGCCAGAAAATGAGTCACTGAACGTCTCAGACAAAAAAGTGAGTCACTGAATGCTTTATCCAGCAAGAGTGACTGGATGTCTCACCTAAAAAGTGAGACACTGAATGTCTTAGCCAGAAAATGAGTCACTGAACGTCTCAGACAAAAAGTGAGTCACCGAATGTTTCAGTTAGAAAGTAGCTCACTGAATGTCTCAGCCGGGGTTAATTCATTTAAGTAGTCTAAGCTTAAAAGTTACTTACCTTACGGAAATAATGGAAGTAACGGTTTAAACGCCGAAAGCTGGAGAAGCATTGGAAACAAATAGGCCTAACATTTGTCATAAAACTCGCGAAGATTGCACATTTCTTTCTTAACATCTTCCTCTTAATTTGTCTATACGTGATTTTTATCACGGAGCTAGCCCTACTTTACTTGAAGTACCGCTATATAATGACATTGTTTTGGTTTGTTTTGAATTTTGCGCAAAGCTACTCAAGGGTTATTTGCGATAATCGTCCCTAATTGTGAAGTGATGGGCTGTAGGGAAGGTAGCTAGTGAACACCACCCACGGCCAATTGTTAGGCTACTCTTTACCAACGAATAGTGGGATTGACTGTTACATTATAACGACCTCACAGAGGAAAGGGCAATGATGTTAAGGGAGGGTATTCGAGCCCGTTCTAACAATCAGGCCATGCCAGGTCCCCTAATTATGAACTGATAGACCAGAGGGACAGCATCTGGTCAGCAGTACTCACTGCCAACTATTTGGCTACTTTAACTCAATAATGATACTTGACTGTCACTAAAAGTACGGGACGTTTTTGTCTTTGGACTTGAGCATAAAGCTACACGATGGGCTATCTGTTCTGCGCCCATCGCAGATACCAAAACCACAACTCTTCAGACTTACCGCTGAACCATTAGGGGAAGAGTACAAAAACAATCTTTGGATTTTCACTGCTAAAATCAGGGGTTCGATTCCCCTCGGTGGACACAGTGGATAGCCTGATGTGGCTTTGCTATAAGAAAAACACACACGAAACGCGATTATTTGTTGGATCCATAGTCCGACATGTTAACCAATGGTCCGTGTCCGGCCCACAGTAAAATATTATGTATGTCAATCTCCCCAAACTGTATTTGTTATTTATATATAGATTCTTACCCTCAAATTTAGCACGTGCCATTTTACAGTGATCTTTGTCGCGTGCATTAGTATTCTGCGCTTTATACATATACCTAATAATTACGGACAACAAGGAACCCGTTGATACGGTCCACTATACAAAACTCTAAAAAAATAAAAACAAAACAATCGAAACCAGCCCTTATCATACAAATATCTATCAAACCTTCCTTTAAATTAACTGCACCTATCACACCTGAAGGTGTGTTTGTTTTTTGAATTTCGCGCAAAGCTACACGAGGGCTATCTGCGCTAGCCGTCCCTAATTTAGCAGTGTAAGACTAGAGGGAAGGCAGCTAGTCATCACCACCCACCACCTACTTTTGGGCTATTTTTTTACCAACGACTAGTGGGATTGATCGCTACATTATAACACCCCCACGGCTGAAAGGGCGAGCATGTTTGGTTGGACTGGGATTCGAAACCGCGATCCGCACATTGCGAGTCGAGCGCCTCTAACCACCTGGCCATGCCGGGCCCACCTGAAGGTATTTCAGTCTAGAAACCAACCACCCTGTTAGAATAATAAACCTGTCTTAGTTGAAGATGACTCCTACCCTGCCAAAATTTGTATCTGCGTCTTCTAGTCTACCATTATCACCATTAAAGATGAAGAAAGATGATGCAAGAGCACTATGAACTCCGTTAACAATCTTAAACACCTCAATCAGATCTCCATCTAAATATTTTTATTATTTTTTTTTTTGCAAGAGAAACCAATTTCAGAAATATTAACCTTTCCACCCCAGGTATCATCATAGTAGCCCTCTTCTGAACCATTTCCAACAGTTCAATATTCTTCCCCGGGTAAGGAGCCCACGACTAAACACAATATTCCAAATGTGGTCTAACCAGCGACATACACAATAAAATTAGAATTTAGGTTTTTATTCAACATTTCTCTTTCAGAGAGAGAATAGCAGATTAGGAGCAGAAGTCAGTGAATAAAGTAGACCTACCTACCGAGCACCACGTGGAAGTATGATATTACTTCACAAACCACGAATACCAAAACCCAGAGTCCGAATCCAGTTCCTTTCTCCAGGACAAATAAACTTGCTAGCGAAACACGAATACAAAGCATGCTACCGTTACATGAGAAACCAACAAAATTCAATATTCAATCAATATTTTCCCAACAGTTCTGTTCGTTTATCCTAGAGTCACATTTGGCTATTTGCCGTGTCCACTTCGGGGAATCGAACCCCGGATCTTAGCGATGTTAGTCAGTAACAAGAAATATTGAGGACACAACAAAAAGTCACTCCCACACCGTAACAACAGACAATAAAAAGTCACGCCTAGACCATAACAAGAGACACTGAGGACAATGAATCAAAAGTCAAAGGTACCGCACCCTTTACGTGTAAGTGTAGAATTTTTTTTTCGAAGAAAAATTTTCAAGCTGAAATAAAAACAACAGAAATAAAAATATAAGGTTAAAAATAACTTTACCAGATCACCATTTTAACCTTTCTCTAAAACCTTATATTCCATGATGAGTATAACAAAGGTTTCAGAGAAATAACAACACGCCGCTAATATTATTTTCTTTTACTCTTTTCTTTTTTTCCTTTGTAATAGAACATTCTGACGGAAAGCAGAAAAAGAATATTTATTAATGCGTCAACCACACTAGTATACCTGCCATATCCAATGCCGACGAGGTCTTTCGCCTAATACCATAACTCACATAAACTTTATCAGCTAAGAATAAACTAACTATAAAATCGAATCTTTACTTAAACTAAATAAATAACCTAATTGATATAATCTCAGCTTTGAGGTATGATCCTGGATCCTTCATTTTTAAGAAATTAATGAAAAAAAATGTGAATTTAAATGTATATAAGAAACATAACGTTAACTTGAAAACTTTTTGATAAGTGCTATTAATTTGCTATTGAAGTTTAACAACCCTTATCAACGTTCACTTTTTGTAGAATGTTATTTAAATCTCAGAATGACGTTTTTCCACTTTCGTCTCCTATTTTCAATAACGAAAAAGATTTTCCTGGGATGTGGTACAGCAATTAGGACTTCCTTTGTAAACTTTAACAATACATTAGTTACAGTTATTATTTTTCGATGTAATTACTTCCAGCAGGGTAGTTTTAAAATAAAAGGGGGATACAAAACATTCCAAGGCAGCCTGGTTGGGAAGGGTTCTGTAAACTAAATATTGGCTAGGGATAAAACAAATTGTCTGTATATAGATTTTTACAGTCACTGGACAGAGAATACCGATAATTATGTAAGAGGTTATACGTTTATCTTTCTATAACCAAATCTACTTTCGGTGATAATTATGTAAGAGGTTATACGTTTATCTTTCTATCACCAAATCTACTTTCGGTGATAATTATGTAAGAGGTTATACGTTTATCTTTCTATCACTACATCTACTTTCGGTGGTAATTATGTAAGAGGTTATACGTTTATCTTTCTATCACCACATCTACTTTCGGTGATAATTATGTAAGAGGTTATACGTTTATCTTTCTATCACCAAATCTACTTTCGGTGATAATTATGTAAGAGGTTATACGTTTATCTTTCTATCACCAAATCTACTTTCGGTGGTCATTTTTCTTATCATCACACAAACTGTATAAGAGTTTATTGTGGCGAGTAAAAAACAACTCGAAACATCACATATACAAATTGTTAAAATAGGAGGAATAGGGACCTTCAAAAAAATTACAGGAACAAGATAGGTAGCTTAAAGCGAAAATGTAATATCAAATTATGTCTCAAACCTTAAGCTTCTTTGTTTTACTTTTTTTTGCGATTGCTTTAAACTGCCTATCTTGTTTCTGTAATTTTTTGAAGGTGCCTATTCCTCCTTTTTAAATTAAGAATTTTTAATAATTTTGTTTCTTTAGTTTTTTTATGTCCATCTGTATAATATAGCAATATTGACCTATTTGAAACAGTTTAATTTAATGAAATATTATTAATTATTAACGTGTTTTTTTTTTCCAAGACCTTAAAGAACGCTACAGTTCTTTTAGCGGAAAATGTATTAATGTTTGAATCAAATATGAAAAAACTTCAAAAATATATTTACACAATCCGTTATTCCCTAGACTTTTACACAAAACTGACATTTTGCACAATTATTTCTTGAAGGTTAACTTACTCTAATTTCTCATTTAAAGTTACCTTCTGTGGGTCAAGGTGGTTTTCCTTGCAAATGTTTCCTGATTAATCTTGCATTTGGAGACCATGTTGATTTTTCCCATACACAGCTGTAACAGAACACTATCAAGAAATTTAGCTACTAGTACAAAGAATAAGGCTGTCAGTAAATTAGGCTTGGCTACCTGCGTTAGAAATATTCAACAAGTGTAAATGAATAAAAACCCTACAACCCGAACGTTTTCGAAAGGTGGACCTTTCTTCTTCAGGGGCAAACTGTAAATAATAATACTGTTTGTGAAAATTGTAGCTCCCATAAATATCTTAAGAATACATCTTCGTAGTTGAACCACAGCTGGTTTTTCTTCATTTTCACTTCCGTATAGAATTATCGTCTGCTGATCTTCGTGTCTCGTGGCACGCGAGTCTACTACGTAACAATGCTACGATGCCTAGATCGTTATCTTTCTCCTGAAGTCAGTGTGTGACGTCACTTTGTTGAGCACACAAGTTTCTACTGGTACAGGGGACTATTTTAAAACACCACTGCCACCTTAACAATTTGGTTGTAAATGTATCCATATATTTGTTTGTATATTCAAATAAATAATCATATATTTAGAAATCATATTTGGCTCAATATATTACTTCTCTTTGTTTTTTTATTCTTTGTTACCTTAGAGGGATTCACGAACAAATTATTCGATAAGGAAAAAAAAACGAACTGGTGGGGAAATTTCTATTCTATGTTCTATAAATGCACCAACAAACAGGTTGTATATATTTGAAAACAAGTCTATTTTGACTATATTACACACACACACACACACACTAATGAAGTCTATAAAGTAGTTCCGGAATGATCAGTCATGCTGACTTATTTGAATGTTGTATATTATTTAAATATAACCAGGTCACCGAAGGTCAGTGATGTGGTCAAGACAGATATTATTTCTGTATTAAACGTATAATATTGTGTGTGTGTGTGTGTGTTTAAAGCGATACAAATAACTACATTATCAAGTGCAGTTGATAATAAAATAATACCTGGAGTTCTCAAAAATGTGTGAGTGAAACTTCATTTTACCAAAAAATATATGATTTAGTGCCCCCAACCCAGACATGCACACACACACACATAAACAAGGGACATCTGAGATGATGCCTTTTTTGTCACGCACTACAACCCCCCAATTAGACACCTGTGTAATATCACGTGAACACTATGTCATGGATAAATAGAAACTCCACTCTGATTGGCTGTCTGCTTTGCAGGTTTAAATAGAAAAATATTTTACATTCAAACAGATTGAAAAATAAATACATTTTAACTACCAATTCTAGAGTTTTATATTTTAACTTTTGGACAAGTTCACACATCTGTACTTTATGTTAACTTTTGGACAAGTTCACACATCTGTACTTTATGTTAACTTTTGGACAAGTTCACACATCTGTACTTTATGTTAACTTTTGGACAAGTTCACACATCTGTACTTTATGTTAATTTTTGGACAAGTTCACACATCTGTACTTTATGTTACAGTAGTTTAAAATGTCACTTCGTATAAGGGAGTAATTCCAAAAAAAAAATATACATTTCCAAGCTAATTCCACGTCGTATTTGTGTATACATTCCTACGACGTCAACCTGTAAATGAAACTTCATAAAGAGGGTAGTTTTATCGATTCTAATAATGACATATGAGGGTAATCACATATTAGCCCTCAAATGACGGGATTTTACACGGACCGACTGGGTTTTTAAAAACAGTTTTCTTGCCTTTTCATGGACCAAACTGCTGGTGAGTCCAAACATAGTGTATACATATCTCATTGTGATCCGTTGGGATAAAAAAAAACAAAAACAAGGTGGCCCAAAACAAATTGTTTTCAGAACCACTGGTTTAAGGGTTAGGTGTCACAAGTGATACAACGTTAAGAACTTACACTTAAATTCAGAGGGCGTTTTTTATTCTGATTTCCCACACCTTCTTAGTAAAGCGTATATAAAGACGGGGTGTTGAGACTTGTCATCCTTAACTTTCAAGTTACTGAAATATTTTGAGCTCCGCTGAAGCGATCAGAGGTAAAGAGCCTAACAGGCCTCGTGAGAACGTGACAAATTAATTTTAACAAGTTTATAAATATCTTACAACTGGCTTTAGTTGAGTGTGAACTGTTTCCAAGCGACACGTGTAAAACAACTGGTTGGATTCGTGTTCTGTCTCTCTTTCACATTTAAATCACCAGAGGAAACATGGACCGACAATTACCCCCTAAAGTCCATTGTCTTTGCCTTCCAAGTTTAGCTACCTACCGTCTTGCAAGTACACATTCACAATATTATCTGTAGTTTTTAGCAAAAGAGTGAAAAAAAAACTGTTAAAAATATATATACATAACAACTATGTAAACCATCTACGTTACAAATTTAAACAATATTTACATTTTACGTAACAACTGTGAAATCACGTACTTAACAATACATGTAGAATCAAGAAACGAGTCAGCTGATTTCGGTACAGTTGTCTGGATGGTACAACTGGGTATTAACATGTTAAAAACACTTATCTTTATAAAACATACAGCCTAACACTTGTATGAACGATGTTTGACTTCAATGTTACTGTTCTTTATGAAAGTAACTCACCGAAGAGACCGAGGTGTTATCCGTCGTTAATAGTTTATGACTTAAACAGGAATTCACCCATTTTGCCCTACTTTGGGGGCGGAGCGTGGTCTAGTGGTCAGCTTGTCGAGTTGCGTATTGAAGGCTCGAGACGTGATGCTGTTGGACACGCTCTATACTTTCAGCCGTGGGAGCGTTATAACACAGCCAAACGCGTTAGTCGGTTCAAACAGTCCTTGTGGCGGCGGGTGCCGCTCTATGGCTGTTTTCTTATAGTCAGTAGTTCAAAATTAGGGACGGTCGTACCCAATCCCTAGGGATTTCTTACCTAGCCGTTTAGCGCACGTGCACATAAGAGGCTTTTGTTTTCAATTTGAAATTTCAATTCTACCTTCCTTCAAAACGAAACATTACCATGATAAACTCAATCATTTCTGGACGTTTCAGTTTAGAGTTGAGTGGGCATTTTGGACATCAAAATGACATCTTGAAAAAAATATCGAACCTAGACGAACGTAGTTTCAGTCGAGTCATTTTGACTGATTACCAACTTTCTTGTTATTCTTTTTTTTTTGTTACATTTCGATGTAATATGTTTGAAAAAAAAATACAATCATGTCACGTTTCACTCTCTGTTCGTTCTTCCATTTTTTTTCTTCTACACAATGGGCTGTCTGCACTGATCTGTCCGCCACGTGAATCGACCTCCGAATTTAAACGTCATAAGCCCTCAAACTTACCGCTGAGTAAATGAAGTAGTATCGTGGTAAATAATAATCAATAGAAACAAATAACTAAGCCTAAAAAAATAACTAAGCCTAAAAAAATTACTAAGCCTAAATTAAATAAATTACAGGAACAGTAAAGAGTGTAATGTAAAACCTTATAATAATTTAGTACAAGAAGCATCTTTGTTTTTATAAATAATTATGTAATTACCAATTCATTTTAAACAGTACCTATTGTTAAGTATTTATTTAAGAGGCAAGCCTAACTGTATTAAGTTTATCATTTTGTTTTTAATGTATGAAATACCTACGTTCGTATGTAGTTATACTGAAACCTCCCACAGCACAGGGAACTAAGCCCTAAATTAGTTTTTGTTTGTTCGAAGTTAAGCACAAAGCTACACAATGGGCTATCGGTGCTCTGCCCACCACGGGTATCGAAACCCGGGTTCTAGCGTTGCAAGTCCGCAGACATACTGCTGTAAGGTTATTTCTAATTAATTTTATTTTTGTATTAGTAATGTAAAATAACCCAATACAGGATTTATTAATTTAAAAAAAAATAATATATTAGCATAATCTCTCACACCAGGAGCGCTGCTAGTATTTTTTGATGTATATGCAAAAGGGGAATCTGGTGGTCAAGACTTCCAGAAAGCTCGTGGGTTTTATGCTTTAATGACCTTGGATTTTATCCAAAAGAAAGTTAGTGACCACTAGATTTTCTTTCATTTCCGTTTTATTAATTTTTTTAATTTTACACCACTAAACAAAATCCAAATTCGTAATCTGCCTGAGGGTCATTGCGCTCCCTCCCACTCATTAAAGAAAGAAGTAAAGATAACCGTCGTAACTCAAAATACGAGTTTAATTTTTGTCTTTCTCTAAATACGATTAATACAGCTTCTTAGAATATTTTTCACTCCAGATCCTGTGTATTATGATTCCACTTCAGATCCTGTGGTATCACTATATCAAGGATTATAAGTAAACATTGTACCCCCCCCCCCCACACACACACACACAATGATGACGTAATACATGCATGCTTATTT